TCATGGGGCTGTCACACTGGAAAACGCCTCCTTCCAGACCTGCTGTTATTTGAATTAGTTTAGTGACACTATAGTGTCATGGGGCTGTCACACCTGAAAATGCCTCCTTCCAGACCTGCTGTTATTTGAATTAGTTTAGTGACTTACTATATAGCCCAATGTTTGATGGTTATTCTATTTCCTGCACTCAAAAGCATCTTGTACATATTCATCTAGTATTGCATAATACAATGAGATAACTGCTATAGCAGATAAACACACACAAGTAAAGAGAAGAATGAGGAAAAATTTATATTGCTTTGGAGATGAGTTGGGGGAGAGCTGTCACAGATGATACAAGGGGTAGGAGTTCAATCACCAGACACAGGTGACAAAGAATTTTAAACAAGGAACCAGAGAAGCAAATAGCAGGTTATTGTAGAGACTTATTTACACATCACCCCATTGGTAAGCAATAATCATAATTACAATAATAAAAAATTACATTTTTTGAATAATTTCAATGCCTTTCTTGCAAGGTGTTGAATGTGTTTTGCACACATCAGCTCATCAGTTACATTAGTCCATGAATCCTGGTATCATCATTGTGCGGAAAGATGCTACAGCTTCTTGTAGCCTCCAGCTAGCAGGGGAATAGGTCTCTATGTTTATAGTTTAAAAACTAGATTCTCCTTCCTCTAAGTAGCAGGTATTTTCTATTCAAATGACATATTATCTTCCGAATCAGAAAGCTATCTACAACCAATCCTACTTCTAGGTGTAGAAACACAAAAGCCTTTTTCATGTCAATACCAGTCACATAATTTCATACACACACACACACACACATTTTAAAATCTTGATTTCTACTAAAATTATTTGAAAGGGTAACTTTCTGATACAAATGCCATAAAATTAATGTCTAGCTACAAAAAGAGAAACGATTAAGACCATGAACTATCCCACCCAGTAAGAGTTACATGCTGAAACCGTAAACCTTGCTTACTGGACTACTTTGTAAACCAGCCATTTGTGAACAATTACTTTAAATCATCATGCCATTCATTATCCTGAAAAACAGGATAATGGAATGCTCTATCTCCCCAAAGTCTGCTCACTGTAAACAGTCCATCCCTCCTAGCTGACTCCAAAAGCTGTATAAACATACTGCAATCAAACCCACCGTAGCTCACAGAAATCCTTTCTTTAAGTAATCTACAGAATGCCAATCTAATACAAATACAAGAAAGAGAAGTTCTTACTAACACAATATTTTGTATTTACAGTATTCTGAACAGTGCTTAAACCTGCACTGGTTATATAAAAGACACTTCCCCACGCTACCTCCCGCCCCGGGCTGACAGCACGCTTAGTTCTCTCATTTACACCACACTGCAATAACATAAAGAGGGGCTTACTATTAATCCAGGTTTTACTACAAAGCGACCCGTTATTTCTCTGTCAAACACTCACAAGAGTGCCAAGTGTCTGTCATCCAATTCAAGGGATTAAGTCTTCTTTTATAGTCTGATACTTGTACCAATTTATAAAAATACAGATATAGTTTCTTAGAGTTGGTCACAGTCGATATTTTGGCTTGGATTCAGGCAGCAGAGGTTGACTATGACAGCTGGCAGGAAACTGAGGGGAGAATACATCCTCCCCCTTCAGTCACCACATCTCAGTTGCCATAGTGATTAATCCTTAATTGAAGGCTGTCTTTGTACATTTCTTTTCAGAAAATTTTATGCAAACTTAAGTTGAAAACGTGCAGTTGACTGAGAAAAGGGGGCATCACATCACAAACAGGTACAGTTCAGCTCCGCGACATACTTCCATACAGCAAAATAACAGACGAACTCTAGAGTACATTCTACTCCTTTTTAAGATCCATGGTGGAATTTGAAGAGTAGATTCACAGTTTTTGTCATTTTGGTTATTAATAATTACTGTACATCAAATAATTACTATACATGAAAAACTCTGAAAGACCATAGGATCTTATCTAGCATTACGGTGTTTATTACTTCTCTTTTAGAAGTTTTCATTTTAGTATATTCCCTTGCAATCTAGTTAAAGGTTCTGATTCAGACTCTACGGTACTCTTTTGAAGTTGGAATACTGGTATACTGTGGCAACTGTTACTTGTGTACTGATTTCATAAAACAAATAGGATATATTTTCTTACTGAGACAACATGTCTGCAACTGGCTACAGACACACATGCATGCACACACAATCTTTTCAAACACAAGTAAAGTTCTTTAATAAAACTTTGATGACAGACATGAAGCACTCAGAGGAATTACCAGTCACCGAAAAGATTCTAGACTGAGCCCCAGATGAAAGATACTGTACTATCGCTGGGAGGTCTGAGCTTTTTGGAGACTTCAGGATCAAGAAGTTTGCAGGTATTTTCTAACACTATGATTGAGTCTCTTTTGTTCTTGCTTCATTTCCCTTTCCCTTTGTTTATTCTCTTTTCTTCTCGTAGCTTTTTTTTTCAAAACTGTAAATTCACTATTGCCACCCACTGCCACACCAGCTGCAAAACCTCTGAGTAACGTACGTCTCTCTAGCCAAAGATGATGAGTGTGTTTCAATGATTTCCTCATTAAAGGTGTTGAAGTAATAATGACGCGATATGATGAAATCAGTGATTGGGAACTTTTCTTCTCAGAAATTCTGTGAGACAGCTTTGAAATGTTAGAATGAAATTTTGCTGTATCAATTACTGACTGAAGTCAGCCACTGAAATGAGTGTTTCTGTAGACTGTGCTTGGGCTGCTAGCAAGGGCGCCATGGGAATGGACCTCCCATTAAGTGGCTTTAAAACTTCACCACAATGTAGTCATTAAACAACTAATTTCTTTATCTTCTGTGAAAAGGTTTACTAAGTTGGTGTATGTGTGATGAGGGAGATAGACAGCCTCCAAGGGTATATTATAACACCCAGGGAGTAGGTATTCCAATTCGTTTCCTAGCAAGAGATGCCCCTCCCTCTGAAAATCACTGTAAAGAGACAAGGTTTCTAACGAGATTGTGTTGTCCACCTCAAAAATATTTGGACTGTAAGAGCTCACAGGCAAACTGTGTTTCCAGCATTTTATTTTTATAACTTTGCTTAAGAAGCAGGTTGCTTCTTAGGTCAATTGTTGGAGAAATTATATGCTTGTAAATTTCTTCTCTAATAAATATTTAGATAAGCTAACGACCAGTATCCAGTTATTTCATTAACATCCACTACAGCGGTTTGCCAAATTATCTGACATTTCACATTAAAATTTGTTTGTATGTAGAAGGAGAAGGTTTTAAAAAAGGGCACAGTTAAAAAAAAATCCTAATAAAAAATTAGCTATCTGTTTAAAAGATTCTGACATACTCTTTACCCTAACAAAGCAAGTTTCTGGAAAACCCAACATAATTCGGCCTGCCTTTTTCAGACGGCACATACAAGGCAATCAAACTGTAGAAATGCTGTTTAAAGTGTTGGTTGAGAGATGGTACATTCCTGGATCAAATGAGAAGACGAGTATAAAAAGCAGCATATTTGGGTCATGAAAGAATGCTTTCACAAGTTGTAGTCTGGCATTGGGCCTATGGACTACATTGAAAAAGGCTAGAAAGGATAGCCTTTCAAAGTCCGTTATTAGATTTATTCTAGGGCTATTATAAGACAACTGGCTGTTTACTATATCGTTCTGTGGTCCCCAAAAAACCCCAAGTGACAAATTTCCTTCAAAGTGAGTGCTAGGAAAAGCTTTGCTTCTCCTAGAACCACTGCTTTTTTGTTTTTTGTTTTTTTTCTTCCTTAAGGACAAACATTTCACTCAGCCTTTCTCAGCAGGGTGTTGCGGCATTTTGGGCAGAACAATTCTTTGCATGTGGGAGTGCCTCCCCATTGCCCCCTCAACCCAGTCCTCTGTCCAGGAGAGCCATTTGGAATCCCTGGCTTCCAGACATTAATGCCAGTCAGACACTCAGTCATTGTGACCACCCAAACTGCCCACACACATTTCCACATGCACTAGTTGAGGTATCACTAAATAGACAGCTTACCTCCTTTGTTTTTTCTACCAGAAAACTCAATCAAATTAGCAATATCTTTTTTAACTTTATACAATATCTGGGTAGAACATGTTATGTCCTATGAATTTGTATTCTAACTTTCTCCCCGTCTTAAACTTCCAGTTTAATTTATATTTTCTCTGGTCCTGAATTTCATTTTGTACTCTGGTTTTATTGTTAAGCTAATTTGATTCCTTTGTCAAACCAGTGAGGTACAAATAAATTAATTCCCTTGATAGTTCAGAGGAATTCTACCCCCACCTTCATTCTTAAAAGTAAAATAGCACTAGGTTGAAGCAAAATATTGGTATTATATACAGTACGCATTCTGAACTCCTGCCCATAAAGTGACAGTAAAATTACTCCTGAGGCACTTAGCTCTTAGAAAATAATAAGCCAAACAGAAGAAAATATTTTGTAAAAACCTTTGAAGAAAGTGACTATGCATAAACAAAAATATCACAACAGCAATTTGAAGTGGGAAGAGCCCATAGGAAGTATTTATGACTTTTAACAGTATAAAAATCCTTTTGCTAAAAATATAAATTCTATATGAAACGAGTTATCTGTGTGTGTCTTCATTTTAGGTGAAAAATTGTGGAGCAATCTAATCACATACTTTCCTTTTTCCATATGAGCAGAAATGGTTTTGGTTCTGATTGAACTACATGATTCCCTCACATTCCTTTTCATTTTGGGGGTACTGGCCAATTTTTATTGAGGAAAACTATTAAGCAACTCAACATTACTAGGTATTTGGGTGTAAATTTGTTGTTTAATCTAAAGCATCTTCAATGACTACAGCTCCCAAATGTTTTGATTTTTACACTTATTTGTATGTCCCTTACAGTTTTTGTAGCTATTTTTGAGGGAATACTTAGAGAAAATACTATTGAGTAACTTCTGTGAAAAATGAGGTAACTAAAGATGATACTATCCTATATCTTTCTTACCTTAGAACTGCAAACAGCTATGTTAGCAGGCAGCTGGGAAAACTGCTTCAACTCAAATACATCATGTGCTGCCCATCGGCTCATGTGATTTTCAGCTTTGCTCGATCCAATCACATTCTGATTTGAGTGAATATAAGCCACTTCCTGAACGCCATCTAGGAGGTAATTGATATTTTTTAAGTGATGTATCAGTATACAGCAGTATGGTTCCACAAAAACACATTATTCTTATTTTTAATACTCAAGAGAAACATCAACACCACAATACTCTTTAGGAAAAATATTGAAAAGAGAGAGAGTTCAAATATGTTAGTATAGGTTACCTTGGAAATGCCTTTTCCTTCTCATCAATGTGAGATGAGAACTACTGATAGTAGGTAACAATCTTTAAACTTGAAATGGAGGTTTTGGCCAAGAGAAAAGTCATGGTTGAGGAAGGTCCTCTCTATGAATTTTATTGTTAAAAAAAAAAAAAAGTTGTTCACTAATTTAAAGAATGAAACCAACCTTCTCTGTTCCTTTAAACATGTACTTGATTACACTGATGGAATGGGAGCATGGGGTTTATGACTAGGGAGTTTCGTTTGATTGGCTTTGCTCAGTTTTATTGTTTGTATTTTGTCTTTTTTGTACATATGCCCAGAGAATGTCAAGATGAGAGCTTTTTAGGAAATGAAAAAAATTAACTCATGGCTTTTATCTGAAAGAGGTTTAAAAAATAGCTACGATTTTTATTGCTTTGCTTCTAGGCACCTATAATTCATTTTTGAATTGTGATCATAAAAGAGAAGGCCAGAACCAAGGCCTATAAATGCTCCCTCCAACAGCTCTGGCAATGAACCTCAGGTATGACCTTCAACACTTGTGCTGTTTCAGTACTGAACCTCTCCAACCAGAAATTGCCAATCATGCAAACATAAAACAGTGTTAAATAATATGATGAGACAGTAACTAGTGTAACATTCTCCTTAAACTTCAAAATACCAGGTACTATATATGGCACATAATTTCAAAACCTTCACAGCAGAAAATTTACTCAGATGTTTCTTAATTTTGATGACACATGTTATCCATTGTTCAAAATAGCATTAGTTCTAAACTAACTACTGACACCTTTTGCACAGTAAAAAACAAACAAACAAACAAAAAACTGAGCTGATTATTTAAAAAACAGTTTATGCAATAATTCCTCAAACCTAAAATCTAACTGTAGCACACAAACCAAAGGATAATTCAGTACTTATTTACAATGATACCAAAATATATATAATAATGAACTCTTAAATGAGAATGCTAATAGCCACAAAGAAGGCCTGATTTGTACATAAATCAAATACAACAATTAAGATTTCTATAGCAAAATATCCTTGCTTGTATCTCAGCTTCTTTCACATAATTTTTGGGGGAATAAGTCAGACATTTGTGAAGGCAACGCCTTAAAATCACCATACTGGCCGGGCGCGGTGGCTCAAGCCTGTAATCCCAGCACTTTGGGAGGCCGAGACGGGCGGATCACGAGGTCAGGAGATCGAGACCATCCTGGCTAACACGGTGAAACCCCGTCTCTACTAAAAAAAAAAATACAAAAAACTAGCCGGGCGCGGTGGCAGGCGCCTGTAGTCCCAACTACTCGGGAGGCTGAGGCAGGAGAATGGCGGGAACCCGGGAGGCGGAGCTTGCAGTGAGCTGAGATCCGGCCACTGCACTCCAGCCTGGGCGGCAGAGCGAGACTCCATCTCAAAAAAAAAAAAAAAAAAAAAAAAAAAAATCACCATACAGATTCTGGGCAGAGGGTGGTAACAAGAGAAGCAGGAGAATCTCTGAATCTGTACACAGAAACAGACAGCAACCAGACAGCAAAACCAAAAGCCCACGGACATTTACATCAAAATTAGGTAACAAGATACCCTCATGACACCTAAAGTACAAGCAGGTGGGAAAAATCTCCACTAGCTATGAACTCTGCACGGTTTCAGTATCTGTGTGAAAGGAGGAGGAAGCAACAGGGCGCCCGACAGACCTAAAAACAGGAGACCCCAGAACTGCCAACAGGTATTCACCGGAAAGCACAAGGGGCCAGCTGGGGAACAGCAGCTGAATCTGGAAGGTTTCCTGCTCTCCAATGCTGAGAGGGTGCAGGGGGGACACAGTAAGAAGGCCTGGAGGGGCTAAAGCAGGCCAACTGCTAGAACTCCCAAAACTGACCCACCAGGGCCCCCACCCAGGTCAGGGCCCAACAAAGAGGAAAAACTGCTGGGGGAGAATCAAAATAAGTAGGATAGGAAGAACAAGGATGAGGGAAAGAAAAGATCTAGAGTAAAGCAAGGGAGAGCCAGAGGAAGGTCCAACACAGTGCAGCACTCTACATGGAAATAACATATGGGTCTCTGTGAAGTGAGAAAAGATTTTCTAAGCTCTGCTTCATTTGTAAAATTTAGAGTAAGTAATTTCATATAAAAATGACCAAGGGAAAGGCAGCACGGTCAAATCTCATAAAAATTACTGTGAGAAAAAAGAGAACAAGCAGAATAATATCCCTCCAATGAAAACGTGCTAGAAAGATGTGCTCACAAAACAGAAAAAGACATGAATCAACAACGTAAATCAGAATTAGAGGAACCCAGCAATGAGTGATAAGAACTTAGGAAAGACTTAAATTTTTTTTTTTTAATTTCAAAAATGAAGACTAAACTAGAAGGAACATAAGTGGGAATAAACACAACAGATAAGCCTTAAGAGAAACAAACAACATTTTAAAAAAGCAAAACGAAATGAACAGATCAAAAAGATGAGAGAATGTGACAAAAACTGAAGATAGGCAAAGAAGACTGAACATCTGAATAATAGGAGTCCCTGAAGAAGAAAGCCAAAGCAAAGGAATAGAAAAAGTAACCAAAAACACTAGTACAAGCAAGTCTTTCCCAAAATAAAATTTAAGTGAAAACAACACTGTGTATATGAGAATACGGACCCAGGATAACCAACATCAAAACACAATCTAGTAAAATTATTGGTCAATAATGAAAAGAAAAAAAATCCCCTGGGCACCTACGGAGAAGGAAAAAAAAAGAACACATAATACCACACTTTATGCCAAAAGAAAACAAAGCTACATATTTAAGACGCTCAAGAAAAGACAATGTGAGTCAAGTATTTTACATCCAGCAAAACTGACTTTCAGGTATAAGGGCACAAAACTGTTATTGCAAGAATCTCAGGGAATATTATTCTCACGAACACTTCTTGAGGAATTACCAGACAGTCAGATTCAGACAACCAGAATGACGTGAGGAGCACTGACATTAAGGACTGATGGGGAGCATGAAATGTGTAGTTACCTGTGGACCAAGTGAAGTCTAAGAGAAGGGTAGTATATAATGCAATGTCTATATCTTTGACAAGAAAGACATAGTATATTCATTTTAAAAATGGAAGAAAAGGGAGAGTAGAGGCAAAAACAGATAAACCCTAAATGTTGTCAGTAATCAAACTGTGGTAGTACTGCTATTTTATTCTTTGTGTAATACGGGATAAAGCAAATGAGCAACAATGGGGCATTAAAAGTAAATCATTCCCTATATGCTTGAGAACCAGAATTATCAATATTGTAGAACTGGTATTCAAACATAATAAAGAGGCCAAATGAGAGCTCTATCGCTCAAATTAAGTATCAATACAAAAAAGTGTAAATATAAACTCGAGGTATTTTATCATCATCACAAATATGTGTACATAAATATATAAAAATATATCACAAATATATGTATACATACACATATCTTATATATATATATATAAGATTATATATATATATATATATATATATATAAAGAGATATATATACAATCTGGCCATTGAAAAGGCCCAGAAATAATAACCAAGTCCACAGTAGCAATGATCATTACTAGCACCATACTGTGGTCTGGAAACACACTTTCTCTCTAACAGAAAACCAAGACTTCTTGGAATAATGACTGATTGTAGGTCTGGGACAGAAAATGGATGAGATGATCCTGGAACATCTTGTTAAGACTAGACAACAAAGAGGCTTCCAAAATGACTAGCAGCATGCCAAAAGGCTTCAGGAACCAAAATATTCATTTCAGAGTCTCCCTTCTATCCACAGATAGGACAATGGAGCCTTAATAATATTATTAATTGCAATGAATTGAGACCCATTAAATGTGTTTGAATCAATTACTAAGAAAAGAATGGGTCATTCTTATGGCATATAGACATATTTAGTTTTTACTATACTATAAACTGGTAAATAAAGCAAGCAATTAGCATTTTTCCTGTCTCTCATATATGGATGGGCCACTGGGTAAGCAATAGTAGATGAGGGGAAGTAGTGAAGTACCTCTTTACAAAAGCATTCTAAATAATTAAACGAAAATGAAAGGAGATAAACAGAAAATATTTTGCTACTCTGAATGAATGAATAAATAAGTATAGGTATTAAGCATCAATGGCTGCTAGGATCATAAAGAGAGAATAAACATTTTGTGCCTACTATAGTCTTGTTAAACACTAACTTTTATCTTGCCAAACGAACTGAACCTGAGTCTGATCCAGTCTCAGGAACCAACTGCTCTTTTGCAGGCAATATAGAAGACAGAAGAACATGTTTAACTGCATGGAGAGGATGCAATTAGCGAAATACAAACTGAGGGAAACTCTGTAAGACATGGTCCAGGTACTTCCATAGTTACATTGTAAGGCAATGAAAGGGATGAGGATTCCTGTAGATTAAAAAAGACTGCCTAACATTTTAAGAAAATGTATGAGACTGGACCATAATACCTAGTGATATGGTTTGGCTGTGTCTCCACTCAAATCTCATCTTGAATTGTAGCTCCCACAATCCCCATGTGTCATGGGAGGGACCTGGTGGGAGGTAACTGAATCATGGGGACAGGTCTTTCCCATGCTGTTCTCGTGACAGTAAGTCTCATGAGATCTGATGGTTTTATAAAGAGGAGTTCCCCTGTACCAGCTCTCTCTCTCTCTTTTCCTGCCACCAACCATGTTAAGACATGACTTGCTCCTCCTTGTCTTCCGCCATGATTGTGAGGCCTCCCTAGCCATGTGGAACTATGAATCCATTAAACCCCCTTTTCTTCTCAGTCTCAAGTATGTCTTTATCAGCAGTGTGAAAACAGATTAATTCACCTAGAGATGCACATTTGGTGATAAAACCATATAAATGTAAATAAGTAATTATTATAGAAGCTAGAATAATTGGTATTTATGGGGGCAGAGGAGTTATGATTTAGAGGGGCACATGGAGGGGGTCCTGGGGTAGATGGCAACATTATCTTGACCTACATGTGGTCTCCCATTTATCCTGCTACCCAACCCTTCCTTATTTGTGCCTCAATGCAGCATCTTGATTTCAGGGCTATTTTACAAGTTAATTCAAAGTATCTCACAGACTACTTGATAAAACAAATATACTTTTTAAAGTTTTCAGAATGTCTTTAGTTACCTAAAAATTTATCCATTGATTCATATGACTGCTCTTGATTGACAGCTTTCTCATTTGAACATTTCATTGGTTTTCTTGGCATGACAGTGCTACTTTTCTTATTATGGCTAGGCAATTTTGAAGAAAAACTGGTTCTGTCTTTTACAGTTCTTGTTCTATGGCTCTGTTTAGAGAAACTGAAGTGGCTGACAGATAAACTCTCATCTGAGGATGAATAATCATCAATAAACTGAGAGTTATGATCCTCATTTGTTGCATATACTTGGTTTGTTTTGTTCACTGTTTTGGGAGAATTGTGAAGTTCTTTTTTGGTTTCCTTTATTCTCTTAAACCTCAATGAACTCTTCCTTACTCTTGACTTGGAAGAAATTTCAATGTCATCAGATTCATCACTGATATCGCTGGTGCCTTTTCTTTTCACAATACATTTCAGGGTTGTGTTCTCAGGACTTAACTTTTCTGAAATTATTCCATTTCTTTGGTCATCAGTCTTTCGACCATTATCATTATTCCTTGTTTTTACAGAGTGTTCTGTTTCAGAATCCTCAGAACCCTCCAAGGGTGGCTTAAACCTTATACTATTGTCGGGGAATCTCTCAGTTGTATGTTGTGTAGGACAGATGACATCACTATCTTCTGATTCTGTGTCATTCTGTAAAATGCAATGTTTATCTGTATTTTTAAATTTTTTCTCATCAGACTTAGAAGAAATACTCTGTTCTAAAGTCTTCTCACTTTTATAAAAAATATGCTTTTCTTTTGGATTTAGGATGTTACCTAATTTCTGATATTTTGAAGTACAAAGAGAGTCCTGATTTTTCTCACAACCAGCATCTTTGGCTTCTGTTGAAAGGCATGTGGGCTGCTCATCAGAACTTTCATCATCAGAGGCAGTATTTCCATCACTGTCCTCAACTGCTTTACATTTTGTTTCAAACAATTTTGAGAAACCACACTGGAGTAAGGTAAGCTGTCCTGGAGAGCTGGAAGCTTTATTTGAATCGGGTGCTCTGTTTTTGGCAGTCTTTACTCCTGCGGCTCCCACTGGCTCTTCATCACTGAAGTCGCTGCAGGGATCACACACTTCCTTTGCCAGTGGCTCTGCAGCTTGTTCTGGACCTCTGCATTCCTGACAGTCAGGCTCTCCAGGCTACAGAAGAAACAATGACAAAAACATCAGAAAACCTCAAGATATAATATGGAATCAAGTGAAAAGGAATCAACTTTGGGCAGGTAATTTAGGTACAAGTGTATCACTTAGTGTTTTCTAAAAGTACAACATTTAATAAACATTTAGTAAAGGGTTTAATATCATAGTCTAGTAGTCTTTTCTCTTTCCATGTTGAATATTGTTCCAAAATAAAACAGTTTAAACTCGAATACCATATCATCAAAGTATTTTGAAAAAAAACACAAAGTGGAGTGTTTGGCTTCTAAGATGCAAGGACACGTAATTCTGGCCTCGAAAGTGAAAAGCATACAACTTACTGCTTAAGAATTACTGGAGTTTACTGTCATCTAGCAGATACTTCTAATCATGCTTTAAGAATAAGACAGATTACAGGAGTTAACAAGGTAAAGAATTCACGACTGGAAAATTGTTCTAATTGATTAAAAAGGCCAATAGGCTCTTGATCACCAGAAATAAAGAATTTTGAAGTAAAATTTGCTACAAATTTAAATTCAATATGTAACTTTTTCACATTAGTCAGAGTTAAATATACCCTAGTTTTCTAAAACTGAGCCTCTAATAGTAAAATATTGCGGGAAAGTATTATCTGCTAATACTTTTGCCAATATTTGATATTCATATATTTCTTTAAATTTATAAAAATTTCATCCCCAATTTAAAGTCATTGGACTGGTATAAACTGACAGTTAAGACTCTAAAAACAAACAAGAAAAAACCAGAAACAATAACAAAAAACCTTCCACACATGCTTTTTACCTTTAAGATGGCCTTAGGATGAAATAAAGATTTGGTGGTACATGAGATGGCAAACTACTAAAAAGATCACAAAATTAAGGAATCAAATAAAATATCTGCTTTCAGTTAGAGAATAACTTTAATATTTGGCTTCAATAATTTTAATACACATTGGTGGTGATTTTTCCATTTAACTTACCATTTAGTCAAAAATTATTTATTTGGGATGGGTTTAGTTATCTAGATGGTACTGGATTTACAGTTTGGGGTAGTTAAAATTCAGTTTAGCTGTAAATGGCTGAATTGCTCCTGAATTTGTTATATGAATGTTAAATCAGCCTTAATTATTAATTTTACCCATAGTCCTCTGACTTTGTGTCCTTGACTCTTAATTTTTTTTTTTACAGGCTATAAAATGAAGGAAAAAGGAAAAGAAACAAAATTGTCACAGTGCATGTTTTCTAGGTGTTGTAGGCTACAAGCTGAAACATTACATACCATTTCCAGTTTGTGTGCTGGAGGTCCCTCTTTCAACCACGTTGTGGCTGTCATGATCCCTGCTTCCACTTGGCCTTCTCTCTATAATGTCAGTAAGAAAGAATGCAGATAGCCATGCAACACAGGGGGTAGCCACAACCAGATAAGCAATAGCAAGGCATGCTGTTCTTGAAGTTAAGAAAGAAACATTGCATGCAGCTTGCTTTAGCATTCTTAAAGTTATTTTTCAACTTGCTAATTAAGAAACTCATATATAAACATTTATAAAACATTTAAAAAATACTCTTAATTCTTGTCTTAAAGTTTACTTTTACAGACACAGAAAACTAACACTTTCCAGCCAACTTCATTAAAAGTACTAGTGGGGAGAGGGAGAGTGAAGAAATGTTATATATTTACCCAGTATGATATCCGTAACAACCATTCCCATATAATAATTATGGTAAGGACATGTTAACATTTCAAACACCACAATGTTGAATATTGGGAACTTGATATTCTAGCCTATATTGTTACTATATTTATTGTTCATATTCATTTGAAAATATCCCTTAGGTATAGGAGGCATCAAAACAAAAAGGTCCATCCTACTATGAAATGAAAAACAATATTCCAGTTATATAACAGGCTTGCTACATCTTTGGGAAAGTATTTGGACTTTAAAGCTTCTGGTGTATCATTTAGCAGAAGTTCTAATGCCCTAGATTCTAGAATATTAAATTCTCCTCAAAAGGAAATCAATTCACTTTTTAAGGCTGTATGTGTTGCTAGAGCAAGAAGAAATAATACTATCATCACTACAGTTACAAATGCCCAACTGAAGAATACACAGACATACTAATGGCATGGTTCCAGCCACTTGGTATCCAGGGCAATGAGTGAGACTCTCCCCTATGGAACTCTAGGGAATGACAAATGGTTTCTGAATTGCTGCAAGTCCTTTACTCTCCATGCCTGGAGGCTATTACAGCAATGGGATGGGAAGCCTCACTCCCAGGCTACCATTTATCTCTGTAACAGAAGCTAAATGGCTACAACAGGTGAAAGTGGCAGTACTAGAAATCTTAAAGCTGCTGAAACTCCCTTATTATAGATAAATGGCCGTTCCAGTCTTAAGCTGCTCAGGCCAAACACCTTGGAGCCATCCTTAACTTCTCTCTTTTTCTCATACCTTGTATCTGACCCATCAGCGAATCCTGTCAATGCCAGCTGGATAATATATACACCATCAAGCCACTTCTCACGCCACCCGCCACCATCACCCTGGCTCAAGCCAACATCATCTCTCAGCTGGATTACTGTAGTATCCTCCTAACTGGCTTCTTGCTTATGTCCTTGTACTTCTATAGTCTAGTTTTCAATAGTAAGTCAAGCTAATATAAATCAGACTATGTCATCTTTCTGTTCAGAACCCTCTAACTGCTTTTTGTCTCATTCAAGTAAAAGTCAAAGTTCCTGCATGGTCTGGCTCTCTGTCATCTCTCTGGCTCCATCTCTTGCTCTCTTGCTTACCTCACTCTAACCAGTCTGGCCTCCCTGACATTGTGAGATCACATGGGGCATGTTCCTCCTTCAGGACCTCTGCATTTGTTTCCCCTGTCTAAAACACACCTTCCTGCCTCACCTCTTTGAATACTCAAATGCAGCCCTCAGAGCGAGGACTTCCTTGGCTACCCCATCTAAAACTGCAATGCCCCTTCCCTGACAGTCTCCATTTCCCTTCCCCGTTCTATTTTCTATCCTTAGAATCTACCTATCATAATACATTCTGTATTTTACTTATTTATTCTGTTTCTCATTTGTCTTCCCATATAGAATGTAGACTTCTGGTAAACAGCATCATTTTGTCTATTTTGTTCTTTTATGTATGTACCAGCTCTATGAACAGTACCTGACATTTCGCAGATGCTCAACAAATATTTGTAAAATGAACTCTCAATGTCTATCTTTGAAGAGAAACCATAATATAGATAATGGAAAGTCAATGCAAAACAGAATGAAACTGCCCAGAAATCATAAGATTGTAAGTGTAAAGATTCAAATTTTTACTTCTTAAAACATTTTAAAACAGATTTTATACAACCTTTAAAAATTAAAAATGTCTCACATGCAGTGAAATACTTCTTTTACTTTATGATATGTGCTCCCATTATATGGGGCTAATAATAATATTTAGAAGCACCTTTGGACCAAAGCAGCATGAATCTAACCAACCCTGAATAAGTTTACATTCTAAATGATGACAAATGAGTAATTTTAATTCAAAATTTAACTTAATAATCAAGTGCCAATGATATGCCTAGCCAGACAAATGTAGGACATGGATGGCCTTGTCACCCCTTATTAATATCAATTAGAAAATAGGTTAATATCCTTAGTATTCTGGTATATTAAATAACTTAAAGATATTTTTTAAAAAGAAAATGTAAGACATGGATGGTCCTGTCATCAATAAACACTTCTGAAGGTGAAACAAGACATTCTTAGAATAACCAGTGAACAAGAGACTTTTTTTTTGAGTCGGAGTCTTGCGCTGTTACCCAGGTTGGAGTGCAGCGGCACAATGAACAAGAGAACTTTTTCTACTTAATAACCTGTCATCCTGATACGTCTCACATAACACTTGTTTAACAAAGAAATAGGTGGTTATTCTGATAAACACAGATAACTATGTCATAATATATGACAGAAAACAGGATAAATAATGTAATGCTAATACTATAGATAATGACTTTAACGTGAATATAAGCATGTCAAGTAGTACTCTGAGATGGAGGTAGCAGCTGGGTTTGGGAGCTGGAGGGCAAACAAAGTTATTGACATGAAAAGAGAAACTGGAAAGAACAAATTCATAAAAGAAACAGCGTATTTAAAAAGCAAGGGGAAAAGAACCCAAAAAGCAGGACTCAAATGGGTCACTGAATTCAGAATCAAATGTAATTACTATAAAATAGAAACTCAGCAGTCTACATCAGAAGTTGTACAATAGTAATAATATTTATAGGATTCAAATAATATATACTTTCCTCCCCCCGGCCATCCATGGTGTGCTGCTGAACTTGTTCAGCGTGCGATTCCTGACATTACGTGGTTATTATGTAAACGTTCTCTTCCATCCGGAGAAGATGGTTCAAGTTCCTCAAGGACAAGAACCAACTGCTCCTTGAACTGTCTTTATGGTACTTACTGAATAAATTAAGTACATTAAGATTTTACTACAAAGTCATGGAAATCAAGAGAAATAGCCTGAAGTTCTCTAAGACTCAGTTTCCTCATCTATCCCATGAGGAGGCTGAAAAAGATAATATTCCAGGATTTTATGATACCTATATGAATATCAATTAGAAAATAGTTAATACCTTTAGTATTCTGCTATATAAAAGAACTTAAAAGAGTTTTTTAAAAAAGGATATAAAATATTTGTTTGAAGAATAAGAAACATCTGTATGTTGAGGATGAACACAACAGGGAGAGTTTAAAACACTGGTGTGGAATTTTTATTGGGAACAGAAAACAAAAAATCTCCGTGAGACATGAGAGGACATCTCAGGGAGTATTTGGTAACTTTCAATCAAAACACGTTTTTGTTTTTGTTTATGTAGGAAAACCTCTCTTCTTAGTTCCTGACTTCAGCAGCTGTTTCCAAACAATAAGCTTCCCTCTGCCTATCTGAAAACGGCCTTGGAGTTCACACCGCCCTGTGTATCCGTTCACGTGTGTGCGTTCTGTGTAACTGTGCACGGGAAAACCTTAGTTTAGAGGTATATTCTCTCTGCCTATCTTAAAACGGCCTTGGAGTTCACACCGCCCTGTGTATCCGTTCACGTGTGTGCGTTCTGTGTAATTGTGCACGGGAAAACCTTAGTTTAGAGGTATATTCCCTCTGCCTATCTTAAAACGGCCTTGGAGTTCACACTGCCCTGTGTATCCGTTCACGTGTGTGCGTTCTGTGTAACTGTGCACGGGAAAACCTTAGTTTAGAGGTATATTCCCTCTGCCTATCTTAAAACGGCCTTGGAGTTCACACCGCCCTGTGTATCCGTTCACGTGTGGCATTCTGTGTGATTGTGCACGGGAAAACCTTAGTTTAGAGGTATATTCCCTCTGCCTCTCTTAAAACGGCCTTGGAGTTCACACCGCCCTGTGTATCCGTTCACGTGTGTGCGTTCTGTGTAATTGTGCACGGGAAAACCTTAGTTTAGAGGTATATTCCCTCTGCCTATCTTAAAACGGCCTTGGAGTTCACACCGCCCTGTGTATCCGTTCACGTGTGTGCGTTCTGTGTAACTGTGCACGGGAAAACCTTAGTTTAGAGGTATATTCCCTCTGCCTATCTTAAAACGGCCTTGGAGTTCACACCGCCCTGTGTATCCGTTCACGTGTGTGCGTTCTGTGTAATTGTGCACGGGAAAACCTTAGTTTAGAGGTATATTCCCTCTGCCTATCTTAAAACGGCCTTGGAGTTCACACTGCCCTGTGTATCCGTTCACGTGTGTGCGTTCTGTGTAACTGTGCACGGGAAAACCTTAGTTTAGAGGTATATTCCCTCTGCCTATCTTAAAACGGCCTTGGAGTTCACACCGCCCTGTGTATCCGTTCACGTGTGTGCGTTCTGTGTAATTGTGCACGGGAAAACCTTAGTTTAGAGGTATATTCCCTCTGCCTATCTTAAAACGGCCTTGGAGTTCACACCGCCCTGTGTATCCGTTCACGTGTGTGCGTTCTGTGTAATTGTGCACGGGAAAACCTTAGTTTAGAGGTATATTCCCTCTGCCTATCTTAAAACGGCCTTGGAGTTCACACCGCCCTGTGTATCCGTTCACGTGTGTGCGTTCTGTGTAATTGTGCACGGGAAAACCTTAGTTTAGAGGTATATTCCCTCTGCCTATCTTAAAACGGCCTTGGAGTTCACACCACCCTGTGTATCCGTTCACGTGTGTGCGTTCTGTGTAATTGTGCACGGGAAAACCTTAGTTTAGAGGTATATTCCCTCTGCCTATCTTAAAACGGCCTTGGAGTTCACACCACCCTGTGTATCCGTTCACGTGTGTGCATTCTGTGTAATTGTGCACGGGAAAACCTTAGTTTAGAGGTATAATAATTCATCTCTTATTCTCTACAAGTAAAAATTCCAAGGCATTTTTGATAAAGAAAACCAAAAGTTTCTCTGAAAAGGCAACAGCAATTGTATTTCAAATTTCCTGAGGAAGAAAAACTGTATTTAAGATATTATTGAAAAGGTTAGAGAAGATGATCACACCTCCAGAATGTCCCTTGTAAGACAAGACCCTTGGGACCTCAGTTTGAAGAGGTTATGGATCCCAAAAAGCTCTCCTTGATGTTCTTTAGATCCTTGAACTGCTTCAAAATATCGTTTGGCATTTTCACTTCCAACCACCACGCAGTGAAGTTGCTAAAACAGAAAAAACACAAGATATTTTGAAGTGTTTGCTCCAACAATATGTCAGAATTTCCTGGCATTCCCTGTATATACACAGCTTTAGTTGGAGCAGGCAGAATCTCCTGAGGGAGGAAATTTTGTTTTAATTTCCCTGGCAGATGTTGCCATTATGGTGAAATAATAATAATCTGGCCAGTATTATTGAAACAGAGATCTTGTATTTCCTATTTTATCTGTTTTCTAACAACTGAGTCAAGATTACATCTCTATAGAATATAGAACCTGACATAAATGTTTAATAATAAAAGCATACATTTGAATTCACTTTTCTCCTTTTAAAACTCTTATTATAACAGGAACTACTAAAACTGGCAGAAGTAATTACTATATCACTAAAGTTAAATTACAATCTAAAGTAATGATATGATAACCACCTTGGTGTCAAACTAATTGTGGCTTGACTACATTGTCTACTAACAGCAAAAGCCCTATCACTGTTTTAAGAAACACTGCATCTTTGACATAATTTTGAATACAGAAAGAACACTGACATGGAACATTTAAAAACACCACTTCAGTATCAACATTAATATGCACTCTCTAATTGCTGGATATTTTACTAAATGTAATATAAATATATAAAATTCAAATACAATCTGATTAACCCCAGGAGTATTTTAAAATTTCTTGAAAGAAAAAAAGAATGCACAGAATGTAAAATAACTAGAGTCCATTGATGGAGAAATTAGTAAAAAAAGATGCTTAAGGGCCGGGTGCAATGGCTCAAGCCTGTAATCCCAGCACTTTGGAAGGTGGAGGTGGAGGCAGGCAGAACACTTGATTTCAGGAGTTAGAGCCCAACCTGGCCAACTTGGTGAAACCCCTTCTCTACTAAAATACAAAAACTAGCTGGGCATGGTGGTAGGCATCTGTAATCCCAGCTACTCGGGAGGCTGAAGCAGGAGAATCACTTGAACCTGGTGGAGTCCGCAGTGACCCAAGGTGGCCATTGTACTCCAGTTTGGGTGACAAAGACTCCGTCTCAAAAAAAAAAAAAAAAAAAAAAAGAGAAATGCTTAACTATTGAGATTATCATCAGAGTTCATTTGCACTGTAATAAGTGATTCTAGGCAACTAAAATTTTTGTTTATAACAGCTGCCATTTATTGAATATTTATTACACGTGTAGCATTTTATTTCCATACTCTTACTTAATCCTTACAACTTTATGTCATCTCAATTTTAGAAATAAAATAACTAAAATTTCTCTATTTTAAAAATAAAGTAACTTAAGTTTAGAGAAATTAAGTGACTTGCTCACAGCTGCCAGCTAAGTGTCATTCCTAGAATTTGTACCTTGGTTTGGCTGAATCTAAAATTTATACTATTAACTAATTTCTCACTTTCAAGACACCTCTCTTAAAACCCTCGGGACCTTCACTTAAAGAAGTTATGGATCAATATACCAACTTGATCAGTTTGACACCAAATGTCCAGAAACATGGGCTGTAATCTTGGGAGCACAAAATTACAATAACAATTGATGCAAGTGACAGCCCAGGGACCTACCGATTTTCCCCTTGTTACTGAACTACCTTAAACACCGATAATGTCAGACTGTAGGACCTGTAACTATAATCACCAAGGTAATTTGTAAGCCTCAATTTGAGTCTTTATAAGCTTCCTAGCAAAGTTTTATCACAAAATTTATAAAAAGCACATTAGTTTGCACTAAAGTGGCTCCAGTAAAAGTGGAAACCAGGTGCTTCCATCTGTAGGCTAACTATAAAAAAAAATCATGTTAAAATTCAAGAGGGTAGGGGAAAAATTAGTAATTAGAAAATGTAGCTTAGTTTCTAGCTTATGAAAAATCCATACAAGGGAGAAAATGCTTGGATCTCATCATAACAACAAAGAAGTAAAAAGAAAAGAACATTTATGATGTTAAGAAGTTCATGGCCATTCTTCCAACTTCAAGGCCAGCAGTGTGGCATCTTCGTATTTTTCTCTCTGACTCTTTGCTTCCTTACCATGGGTTATTAGGCAGTAGGGTCAGAGAAAGCAGAGATGAAGATGTGCACATCTGACCCTTATAAAAAAAACCCTTGTGATTACACTGGCCCATCTGGATAACCCAGGTGGTTTGGGGGATTATGATGTGAGCAATCTTTGGGAGACTATTATTCAGCCTACCACAGTAAAGAAGTGCAAAAAGAAGGATGGGAGCAAGTCGAAATGACACACAAGCCACCCTAATAGGTGCCCACTGGCCAAATATAAGACAGTGTCAACATTAAATAGTGATATTCAATGTGTTGTAATCTGTTACTAAAATGGGAAGCCATGAGACCACACAAATTAAATAGAAGGGAAAGCTCTTTTTTTAATGGTAGAGTTCCAAAGAACAACCAAGAAGGATAATGGAAAAAGAAAGTCACCACCTGACAACCATTACAGTGGTAGCTGATTCAGGCGGGAATCACAAATGAACACTAAGGGTTATGGGTGCAGGTTTGATGAGAAACTGGCAGTTTCAGAGGATCTCCTCATAAATTACACATCAATTACAAAGAAAAAAATAGTAACTTTGCAGTGGAGAAACTCAGCAGACACAAACTTGACCTGTGATCAAGGTTAGTAGGGCAAGTCACCCTCATGTGCCTTCTGACTGATGCAACGAGAAGAGCACAGTATCGTGTCTGTGGTATTCCTGCCAATACTGCTTGGCCTCAGTCTGGACATGAGGAAATATCAAATGGGCCTAGACTGAAGGACACCTACACAAAGGCCTTATTCTTCAAAATTGTCAAGGTCTTGAAAGACAAAGCCTGGGTAATATTCTAGGTTGAAAAAAACTGAAGAGACACCAGTAAATGGAGCCATGATCCTTGATGAAATCCTGGACCAGGAAGGAAAGAAGAGACACTGCTGGGAGAGCTGGGGAAACTGAATGGGTCCTGTGGATTATAGCATGATGTTTTATCAATGTTAATTTCTTGATGTGAATAACTGCATTTTGGAGAGGAATGTGGGGAGTGAGGAAAGCGAGTTGTAGAACTGTATATACAACTGAGTGTTTAGAATGCATAAAACTGTTTTTTATGTATATTTAAGTAGGAGTGGGGAATATATACTAGAAATACACGTATACATTATTTGGGGAAATACATACTGGAAAATTTAGAGTGTTGCTTCTTTGGGGAAATACATGCTGATGAGAAGTCTAACTCTCTCTCAAATGACTCAGAAAAAGAATAAAGACAATAGCTAAGACAAAGAGAAAGCAGGTGTGTAAAATGTCAGCAAATAGGGAACTTGAGTGAAGCTAATTGGGGGTTCTTTCTGCTATTCTTGCAATTCTTCTGCAAACACTTCTAAATAACATTTACACACACACACACACACACACACACACACACACACACACACACACACGAGATGACTTTCTGAATGCCAAACTTTAGATTGCTTAAATGCTCCAAACCTGAAGGAGCACAGCTGCTGTATAAGTGATGTTTATATTTTTAAAATGTATAAAATATCTGATTGCATCATCACAACAGATGCAACAAAAGATATCAAAATAAAAGTCCCTCATGAACAATACAGGTCACTCCTTATTAGTCTAACCAGTGCTGTAATGTTTAGGTGCATCCTCCTAGATATCTTTCAATGAAGTTAAAGCTATTTATACATACAGATGCTCCTTAATTGATGATGGGACTATAACTAGATAAACCCATTGTAAGTTGAACACACCATTAGGTCTAAAGTAGGTTTTGGACTCACGATAGGCTTATCTGGATGTGGCCCCATCGTAAGTAGACGAACATACTTCATACATAAATAGGTATCATTTTAGCACCATCATAAAACTGAAAAAACATTAAGTTGAACCATGTCATAAAACAGTCTGTCACACAGCAACAGCTTTATTTGTAAACACATTGAAACACTGTAGATATTGTTCTATATATTGCTTTTTTGATTCACTTAAAAGTGTCTTCAGACATCTTGCCACATCAGTACATTTGATCTGACTACAATTTTTTTAAATTTTGCTGTCACGAAGTAATATAGGTATCAGAATTTATTCTGTTACTGTCGGACATTTAGGTTGTTTCCTTTGTTTTTTAAACAAATGAGAGCAATGCTAAGTAAAAACCCTTATCACCCTTCACTGTGCATATGTGAGAGGATTTCTGTCAGTTAGGTATGGAGCCTCGACAATACCTACACCAGCTGTACTCTCAACAATAGTGTATGAGCATCTCTCAAACACCCCAACCAAAAATGAACAGCACCAATCTCCCCAACCCCACAAAAAACACCTCGATATGCATTTTTTTAAAAAAGCTTTCACAGAATATACAATGCAAATGGTCTCATTTTCTATCTCTAGATTATGAGTGTGGTTAGAAAGATCTTTTCACATATGTGTTAACCACTTGCATTTTTTTCTTCAGTGAAATGCCTATTATTCTTTTTATTGGTTTGTAGGTCACACAGTTTGGCTGTGTCCCCACCCAAATCTCATCTTGAACTGCAGCTCCCATAATTCCCATGTGTTGTGGGAGGGACCCAGTGGGAGATAACTGAATCATGTGGGCGGCTTCCCCCCTACTGTTCTCGTGGTAGTAAGTCTCATGAGATCTGATGGTTTTATAAGGGGAAACCTCCTTCGTTTGATTCTCATTCTCTTTGCCTGCCTCCATGTAAGATGTGCCTTTTGCCTTCTGCCATGATTGTGAGGTCTCCCCAGCCATGCAGAACTGTGAGTCCATTAAACCTCTTCTTCTTTATAACCCAATCTCTGGTATGTCTTTATCAGCAGCATGAAAACAGATGAATACAGTGGGAGTTCTTTATATTTTGCAGCTGCTGCTCTTTTATTACATGTATGGCAAACATTTGCTCCTAGACTCTCTTTGAATTTGGTTTGCAGTTCCTTTGTCATACAGAAGTTTCATACAAAAATATAGTCAAATTTACTTGGTATTTGCCTTAGAGGCTATACTAGTTTCCCAATTCTGCTGTAACAAAGTACTACAAATTGGATGTCTTAAAACAATAGAAATTTATTTTCTCATAGTTGTGGAGGCTAAATCTGAAATCAAGGTGTCCACAGAGCCATGCTCTGTCTGCAGATTCTAGGGAATGATCCTTCCTTGCCTCTTTCTAGCTTCTGGTAGCTTCTGGCAGTTGCTGGTAATCCATAGCATTCTTTGGCTTGTGGTGGCATCACTCCAATCTCTGCCTCCATTGTCACATGGTGTTCTTCCTCTGTGGCTGTCTGTATACAAATTTCCCCCTTCTTATAAGGTATCAGTCAATGGATGACAGCCCATTCTCATCCAGTGTGACCTCATCTTAACCTCATCTGTAAAGACCCTACTTACAAATAAGATCACATTCACAGGTACCAGGGCTTAGGACTTCAACCTATCTTTTGAGAGGAAAGGACGCAATTGACTCAAAACAGATGCTTGGTAAAAGATTTTCATATTTATGTTCATGAGAGATATTCATCTGTTATTTTCTCTTCTTGCAATGTCTTTGTCAAGTCTGGTATCAGGATTCTTCCGTCTTTGTGAAATAAGTTGGAAGTGTTCCCTCTTCCTCTGTTTTCAAAAACAATATTAAGTGTTTGACAGAATTTACCACTGAAGTCATCCGGGCTGGAATCTATCTTTGTGGGAGAGTTCTGAATTAACAATTTAGTTTCAACTAGTCTGGGCAACATAGTGAAACTGTCTCTACAAAAAATAAAAATAAAAAATTAACTTGGTGTGTTGGCACACACCTATAGTGCCAGCTACTCGTGATGCTGAGGTGGGAGGATCATTTGAGCCTCTCACAGTTTTGGGAGCCAGAAAGCTGCAATCGGTATCACTGAACTGAAATCAAGGTGTTGACAGGACCATACTCCTTCTGGAGGCTCTAGGAAAGAATCTATTTCTTGCCTCTTCCAGCTTGCGGTGGCTACCAGCATTCCTTAGCTTCTGGCACACCACTCCGATCAATGCCTCTGTGGTTACATTGTCTTCTCCTCTTCTGTGTCAAACTGTCCTCCAGCTCTTTCTTATAAGGACACTTGTGGTTAATCCAAGATAATCCCCGAATCTCAAGACCCATAATTTAATCACACATGCAAAGATTCCTTTTCCATATAAAGTACCATTTACAATTTCCAGGGATTAGAAATTGATATTTTTGAGGGCCAGTATTCAGCCCACTATACTGCCTTTTTCAAAGTGTTTACTTTCCTAAACTGTTGGGTAATTATTTCTGGCTGGGATATTCATCTGCTTTTAAATACTTCACACGCTTATCTCTGTCTACTGCAGTGCTTATCTGAAAAATAGTGGAGGGTGCAAGTAATTAGGCTTCTGGGCAACAGGAGGGACTTTCTCCAAATATTTGGAGCTGTCTTGCTTCTTTGCTTCCAGTACTTCTACTTACTGTTCTCACTTGAGAGTAGACACCTCTGCTGGCTGTAATTTGGTCCAAACGGGATAAGATTATAAGGGATAAACTGTCTTGTTACACCATCAGTGATACCCCAAGGCTTCCTTCTTTTTTAGTAGCTGCTGACTCTAAGCTTGGAATATCCAGAGGCTGCACCTACCTTTTCAGTAGTTTTCTTCTAAGTTTAGGTTGGCTTCTTCCTTCAATCAGATCCCAACTTCCTTGTCTTTTAGGACTCCTTACAATTTTGGGGCCACCAAGAAAACTCTTCTTGCTTTCTAACATTTTTACAGGTTTTTTCTTTTTTTTAAAGAACATAATTTTTTTTTTTTTTTTGTCCCCGCAAAAGATTGAAGGCCAACCTGGGAGGCTAGAAGGTATGCTCCATTGGTTTAAATTCCAAACTATCTTTAAACCATATTTAGTGCCTTTTCCTTACATGATTGCCATTTTCTCTTTATTTGTGTCATATAAAGTTCTTAAATTACCTCATCTTCTGAAGCCTCTTTTATTATATACTACTGTGTAATGTATATTTTATAACAAGACATTTCATTTCATTAAATGAGTCAGATGAATAGGTAAAAAAGAAATGTATACAGTAATGGACCGAAAAAAATTACTACATAATTGAGGAAAGACTCTTACTTGAGAGAAGTCTAAGACAGTACTCAAAAGAACAGCTCCTAAGATGAGTAACTTCCCACTTTTTCCCAAGGTTGGTTAAATAGGTTAGAAAAAAATAATTTTCAAGTAGTTGTGCTATACCAAAAAAAAAAAAAAAAAGATCAACTGTTTATTATAGAGCTAAAAGCTTTAAGAAAAACAGAAACTGCTGTGTACGACTCTATTTTTAGAATGAAGAAAATAGCATAAATTTAAGATTGGATCACCACTCTTAGGTTAACTACCAACACATGTGGCAGATGTTTGCTCTTAAATAGATGCCAACTGAACATATAGGAAGCAATTCAAATGCAATATTTACGATTACACTTGAACCTTATTCCAGATTGTCTCAAGTATCCAGTTGTAAACTAAATAAATATTGTTTGTTTAGAGGCATAAATGAAGTAGTAATTGATAAGCCAAGCATATTTAAGAGTTAATGCAATTTTAGACAAATACTAAAAGTACCAGGAAAGTAGTTAGCACACTTAAGTTCTGTTCCTATAATTTCATTTACTGGCACATCTCTGGGGTCCTAGTTTCATCATGTACAGTATGTACCTCTAAGGCAGTGCTCCCTAATCTTCATGTGATGGCACCTATAGAGAATGGTAACATATGAATATCTACCTGGTGTAAAAAGAAGAGGTTAGTCAAGGCTGGCAGCTAGCTGATATGGTTTTGCTGTGTCCCCACCCTAATTTTATCTTGAATTACAGTTCCCATAATCCCCACGTGCTGTGAGAGGGATCTGGTGGGTAAGTGAATCATGGGGCAGTTATACCCATGCTGCTGCTTCCATTACAATGAGCTCTCAAGAGATCCGAAAGTTTTATAAGTGGCTTTTCTCTCTTTGCTCAGAACTTCTCCTTCCTGTCATCATGTGAAGAAGGGCACATCTGCTTCCCCTTCCACCATGATGGTAAGTTTCCTGAGGCCTCCCCCACCATGTGGAACTGTGAGTCAATTAAACCTCTTTCCTTTATAAACTACCCAGTCTTGGGCAGTTCTTTATGGCAGCATGAGAATGAACTAACACACAGGCTTAGGTACTCTTGCTGTCCAGAAAGCTGTGGGACCAACATCTCAGTGCACCTGTAGCCCATTTGTGGTAAACCATTATATCTTGGCCTGTAGTTTGGGGAGCTGTGACCTTGCTACTCAAACTGTGGGCTGCTGATTAGTTTTACTAGGACTCTTGGGAGCCAGTTAAATATTCCACATCATGAGCTCTACCTCAGACCTACTAAATCAGAATCAGTATTTTGACAAGATCCCTAGGTAATTTGCATGTACACTAAAGTTTAAGAGGCAATACTCTAGAAAACTTTCAGCTCAAAAATTCAATGAACCCCAAAATTAATCTGTTTCATAGAAGTGTATTCAAGGGTATTTTTTATGACCTTATTAAATTCTACATGATACAGTAAAATTTAAAACTTTCATATTACACAAGTTTTTCCTAATTTTTAAAAACATAAATGTTGACCTCTGAAACAGAAGGGAAACATATTTACCTGCTTGTATACCTGTCGTAAATACATGATTTCCTCCACAGTTCCCAAGGATATCAGCCTAAGCACTTTGACATCTCTACACTGTCCAATCCTGTATGCTCTGTAAAAAGATTAAAAATACAAACAAAAATCAAGTGAAACAACTTTGGGTTCAAGAGGTAGCTCGGGAACATAAAAATGGAAAATTATTAAAATTTTAAATAATTTAAAAATAAACATTTTATGTTTATGCTATGTTATTTAGTAATAATTAAAAAATTCAAATTCATATAAAAAGATGTTATTAAGGAGAAAAGTATTATAGAAAACCTACGAATATCAACTTCATTTCTGTTATAAACATCACCTTCCACTGTTTAAAAACTTTTCCTAAATTTAGGTTTTTCTTTTATAGCAGCTTTAAGCTTACAGATTATTCCCCAAAGCTTTCATTTATATAAAAATCCCCAAAATGCCAACTAATCCATAGAGCCAGAAAGTAGACTAGTGGTTGCTTGCGGATAAGGGGATGGGGAAGAATGGGAGGGATGGGTCACAAAGGGGCAGAAGGAAAATTCTGGGGTGATGGGTATGTTCATTATGTTAATTGTGGTGATGGTCTCACAGGTACATAAGTCAAAACTTATCAATTGTATACTTTAAGTATGTACAGTTTATTGCATGTCAATTATACTTTATTAAAACTATTAAAAAGTAAAAAAACCCCACAACTTAGCAAAAAGTAGTTAATCAACTGGAAAGTCTATGGAAGTGCTGGTTTACAGTCCTCATCTGTAGAGATTTCAATTCAGTAGATCTGACTGAATCACTCAGTTGACTGGCATCCAAGGTGTTTCCATACAGCCCATGGATGGTTTTAATTAGTGCTAATTAAAATTCTAAACTGATTCATCACAGTGGTTTAGCTGTGGGTCTATTCCCCACAGCTTCTCTCATATGGAGGCTTTATACGATGCTCTGTATGAGCACCCAATGCCTGTTACAGTTGCTGAGGGGAACCGGGGCAAGGCCATACTGCCTATATGCTTGAAAACGTTACAATTCGGGGGAAATTTATCTTTGAACTTGTAAGGTCGGCCATATGTTATATTTGATGTTCTCTCTGCCTCCTTTACCCACCCCTCCTCACAAAGGACTTTTACTAGAGGACATCTCTGGATCGTGCAAATCTTACATCTCCAGCAGGAAATGGTGGCTCCTGCGACGCAGCACCGCCAGGGGTAAGGTACTGCATTCTCACTTCCATTCTGTAACCTGGAGGCAGAGGAGAGGGGCTCAGCATCCCTTTCTCTCCTACAATGTACAATGCGTTTGGGTTCTAAAGAAAATCAGAAATGGATCTAAGAAAATGTTCTTCGGATGTATGCTTAAGCCAGTTGTTTGGTGAATGGGAGAGATTCCATTAGGATGCATATCCTTCAATCTTTACAGACAAAAATTTTAGACACGTGTTACTGTGTGCCTAAGCTTCATCATTTCTTGATCCATAAAGCAAGGATTTGTAAGTGATGACTCTCTCACCATGTGGAGACAAGTGCTGAGGAACTGTTATACAATAGGTAGGTCATTAGCTGTGGAGACAAGTGCTGAGGAACTGTTATACAATAGGTAGGTCATTAGCTGTGGAGACAAGTGCTGAGGAACTGTTATACAATAGGTAGGTCATTAGCTTTATTTCTGTTCTTAGTTCCTGCTGTCAGAGTCAGTGGAAGGAGAGGGAGAGGAAAAGGAATGCTAGTTATTCAGTTTTATTGTGAACTAACTTTCAGTGAATACCAAAGCACAGTACACTGTGCTTTGAAGAATACTGGGATAATTAATATGTCTCGATGACCTAAAGAAAAAGTACAAAATACAACAAATGTCATAAGACCAAAAAAAGGGGCATAGGGAGATTTTTCTGTGGTTTTCATTTTGACCAATTTCCTTGACAGCTGTCTGTGGAGAGAGGTTGATGAAAAGTGCTGGCTTTGCAGTAAGACCGTATGGATTCAGATCCTGACCCTGCGACTTACTGGTTGTGACCCTGAGCAAGTTACCTAAAGTGCACTGTGCCTTAGCTTTCTCCTAAGTAAAATGGGTATAACAGTGCCCATCACAAAGGATATTCTGAGTATTAAATGAGATAATCCATGGAAAGCACCAAGAATGACAGTTCCTACCTTACCATAAACACTCAGTAAGTGTAGCCATTATTCCTTTGTCCTTATTTTTCCAAATGTATTTGAATAAAATTGTACACAAAGTATTATTATAAATAAATATTGTTATTGGTTAGATGGCCTTTCTGCTTCTTAAGCGTTTCTATGTATTTGCCTTTTTCCCTCAGATTAGACTTTTCAAAAGTGTCTCTATTTTACTCTTTTCAATGAATTAGTTAATATTTATATTATGTTCGTTTTTATCTTAATAATGTAATAACGCATATAATTCTATTGTCTTTACTTTGTTCCTTTTCTAGTTTTCTAAATTATTCTTTTACTTTCCGTCTTTCTTAATAAATGAATTTAAAAATTGAAATTAGCATCAGAATTTAAATATTGATCCACAGTAATTTCACTGTTATTTCTAAACAGCAAGTTTTTCTCTCTTGATTTCCTCTTATGGTGGCAAAATATACATAATAAAACTCATTTTAAGCAATTTTAAGTGTACAGTTAAGTGGCATTAGGTATATCCACACTGTAATGCAACTATAACACCTATATAGCTACAGACACTTTCCAAACTGAAACTCTGTACTCATTCAACAGTAACTCCCCATTCCCCAGTCCCCCAGCTACTAGCAACTACCATTCTCTTTTCTGTCTCTGTGAATTTGATGACTAGGTACAACATGAAATCATACAATCTTTGTCCTTTTCTAGCAAAAACAGGTATCCATTCTTTGTAGCTGATATTAGAGGAAAAGCAATTCAATCATGATACCACTGAGGATGATGTTAGCTCTGGGTTTTTCACAAATGACCTTACGTTGAAGTAGTTTCCCTTTTTTTAAAAAAATTGAGATGGAGACACTCTGTCGCCCAGGCTGGAGTGCAGTGTTGCAATCTCAGCTCACTGCAACCTCCATTTTCCAGGCTTAAGTGATTCTCGTGCCTTGGCCACCCAGGCAAGCAGCTGGGACTACAGGAGCACACCACCATGCCTGGCTAATTTTTATATTTTTTTGTAGAGATGGGGTTTCATCATGTTGGTCAGGCGGCCCTTGAACTCCTGACCTCAAGAGGCGCAAGCCACCGTGCCCGGCTTGTTTCCTTTTATTTTTAATGTGTTGTTTTTGTCATCTTTAAAATGATGTTGAATTTTGTCAAATATTTTTCCACATCAATGAAATGATTGTGTGTCTTTATTCCTTTATTCATTACTGTGGCGTATTACACTGATTTTTGAAGGATGTTGAACTATTTTTGAATTCCAGGAATAAATCCTGCTTTGTGTATCATCCTTTCAATATGCTGCTGAACTCAGTTTGCTAGCATTTTACGGAGTATTTTTGCATTAACATTCATAAGGATTATTGGTCTGTAGTTTTCTTTCTTGCAGTCTTTGATTTTGGTATTGGAGTAATGCTGGCTTTAGAGAATTAATTGGAACGTGTTTCTTCCTCTTCAGTTTTTTGGAAGTGTTTGAGAAGCACTGGTGCAAATTCTTCTTTTTTTTTTTGAAACGGAGTCTCACTCTGTTGCCAGGCTGGAGTGCAACAGCTCAATCTTGGCTCACTGCAACCTCCGACTCCCTGGTTCAAGTTATTCTCCTGCCTCAGTCTCCCGAGTAGCTGTGATTACAGGCATGTGCCACCATGCCCAGCTACTTTTTGTATTTTTAGTAGAGACGGGGTTTCACCGTGTTGGCCAGGATGGTCTCGAACTCCTGAACTCGTGATCTGCCCACCTCAGCCTCCTAAAATGCTGGGATTACAGGCATGAGCCACCGTGCCCGGTTGGATTGGTGCAGATTCTTTAAATGCTTGGTAGAATTCACCAGTAAAGTCTTAAGGTCCTGAGCTTTACTTTGTTCCGAGGTTTCTGATTACTGATTCAATTTCCTTAAATAGTTATACGTATATTCAGGTTTTCTACGTCTTCATGACATTCTTCCTAGATGTATATTTCTAGCAATTCATCCATTTCATGTAGACTATTCAATTTGTTGGTATGCAAATGTTCACAGTACTCTCTTATACTCCTTTTTATTTCTGTAAAATCAGTAGCAATGTCCCCTCTTTTTTTTGATGTTAATTATTTGAGTCTTCTTTCTTTTCTCTTAGTCAATCTAGCTAAATATTTATCCACCATTTTCTTGATCTTTTCAAAGAACCAACTCTTGGTTTCACTGACTGCCTCTGTTGTTTTTCTGTTCTTTGTTTTACTTACCTCTGTTCTAATATTTGTTGTTTCCTCTGGTTAGCTCTGGGGGGGTTTTCCTTTTCCTAGTTCCTTAAGGTGAAAAGTTAATTGTTGATTTAGACCTTTCTTCTTTTCTAATGTAAGCATTTACAGCTATAAATTTCCCTCTTAGCGTTACTTTTGCTGCGTCCTGTAAGTTTTGGTGTGTGTTTTCATTTACTTCAAGCTATTTTCTAACGTCCCTTGTGAATTATTCTTCAACCCTTTCGTTAAGCATGTATTGTTTAACTTCCACATATTTGTGAATTTTTCAATTTTTCTTCTGCTGTTGATTTCTAGTTTCACTGTATTGTCATTGGAAAAAAATGAATGATTTCAATCTTTTAAAATGTATTTAAAAGCTTGTTTTGGGGCCTAACACATGATTTATCCTGGAGTGTTCATTGTGTACTTGAGAAAAATATGTATTGTGCTGTTGTTGGAAGGAAAATTCTATATATCTCTGTTAAGTGTTGTTCAAATCCTCTCATTACTTACTGATCTTCTGTCTGAATGTTTTACCCATTATGAAAGTCGGCTATTGAAGTCGCCCACTATTATTGCAGAGCTGTTTTTCCCTTCAATTCTGTCAATGTTTGCTTCATACACTTTGGGGCTCTATTGTTTGTTGAATTTATGTATATAATTTTTAAACCTCCTTGGTGAATCCACTTTTTACCATCAGATAATGCCTTTCTTCTCTTCTAACAGT